CCCCCCCCCCCCCCCCCCCCCCCCCCCCCCCCCCCCCCCCCCCCCCCCCCCCCCCCCCCCGGGGTTTAAGTAGTTTCTCAGGTAAGTTAGCTCAACAATAGTATCGTAGATTTCTAATTCAGAGTGCCCTGGTTCAACTCTTACTTTGCGGTGATATATATAAAATATAATACTTTAGAAACTAGTGGCCACACGTGGAAAAGTTATAGATGAAGTTTTTAATTTTGTTCGTCATTCCTATTTTCTTCACATTCGTATTGAAAGAGACTAGCAGACATATTGAAATGAATCCTTCTGCAAACTTCTTTCATACAGCAAATATAAACAAATTCATGCATGGGGTCAAACGCTCATTACACTTCACAGCGCCACAGAAATATTTTCGTACTACTGTTCGTTTCAAAACAGAATGCACTCGGTTGTTCACTGAGTAACTCGGCAGCGCCCGTAACTATCGAGTTCGGATTTTTACCGTTATAAAGAGGATGGTTGGGGTATCTGTCTAGCTGAAAATCGAAATCCTTGAAAAGTTTTCTACGGATTTTCCAGGAGGTTTCTGGAAACCATAGACTGCTTCCTTTGATCACATGTATTCTCAATTTCAATTTAGCTATATTGTAGTCCAATGTCTTCTCTATAAACTCTGAAATTTCCTTAATTTTCTGACCCTTTCTTGGGGAGCAGGAAAAAGATCTTCCGAAACCCACTGACGGCAGGTTTCAAAAGTTTTTGTCTCTGTTCTCTTATCCAAAGAGATAATCGACTCTGCATCATCATGGTGATATCAGTTTGACGACTTTTTTAAAGAAATAGTTTCACAACTTACAATTTTACAAATCACGTTTTTTGATGGTAAGTCATGGTCAAAAATGACTGAACTCTTGCACGCCGACACTACATCCGATGATTTTTCGTTCTATAGAGAAAACAGCTACAGATTCCCAGATGTTTTTTATTTTGTGTCTACAACACTTCACTCACTCATTTTTCAAATTTTACCGCGACACATTAACCCAGACAAAATTGTCAATATTCTCCTCTGTTATGCCGAAACTAAATTTTTATTCTAGTTGCATTAAAAAAAATTAATGTGCTTCTTAAATAAAAGTAATAATGATAATGATGGTGGCTTTTATAAACACAAATAATTCATCGCTGAATCTCATTAGAATGATGATATAAGTGAGATGAATATCCTAAAAAATAATCGATGCTCTAGATATATCTTTTTTATATATTTATACATGATTGGATAGAGAACATCGAGCTGAGTAAGAAAAAGTTAGTTTTAAGTTTTGAAAAACTTTAAATTACCGATTTTGCTAAAAATAGCTAATTCAAATTTTGCGTTTTCTCTTTACCTTCAAGTTTTGAAGCTAGTTTTTTTAATTCAGCTTTGAAAACTGAGTATAGAGAAGAGGTTTGATTGATCTCAAACTTAAAAGCTGATTTAGCCTGCTTCACTTGAACTGATCCTTCAGATAGGTATGCACCGGTATCGGTATACCCAATACCGACCTTTTTGGATTTTTTCATCTGAAATGAGATAGTTTAGCATCCTGGACACTCAGAAAGAATCAGGGATGCAAAACAAGAGCTTTGTTTGCTTTCTAAGGCCAAAGTTTTTCTCTATTGTCTATGTTAGCTGTTCCTACACATGCTCAGAATACATAGCTGATCTTTTTTGTTTTCTGATTGTCCATGACACTAAACTATCTCATTTCAGATGAAAAAATCTAAAAAAGTCGGTATTTCCGGTATCGATATTTCGGTATGGATACCCATATCAGTGCATACCTACCTCCAAAACAACAGCAGGTCATTTTCCAAACCTATCTAGTTTGTTGTGTCAATACATTTTGCCATTTCTCTTATGTCATTGCAACCGCCAAACTGTCAGCTTTAACATGACGTATTGATTTTTTTTAATTTTGTTCTGTTCTGGAGAAAAATCATTTTTACTGAAGCTATAGGAAAAAGGGGAAGGGCATTTTAGAATAAAACTTTTACTTTCTAGTCAAATATCGTGAAAATAGACCTAAATAGATTAAAAGCGATGGTAAATTCAATGAACATCTTCTGAAATCTTGACTGATCTGAGAAAATGACTGTTCATGCATCAAGATTTGCATTAGTGATTTTTCGATGATATTTGACTGTTCCTCTACATAACTGACTAAAATATAGTTGAAGCACCTCAGTATATGTTTGTCCTTGTGCATAAGCTTCAAGCGTACGCCAAAATCGTCTAAATAATTTTAATGCTATCTTTTTATCAACGAAATGTGCTCGTGCATCAGATATTAATCGAATCATTTTATCAAATGTTTGATCACTACGTTGTCTAACAAATAATTTCATGTTGCACCACAAACCTTCAATTGGATTACATTCACAATGATATTTAGGTGAAAAAATTATTTTAATTTTATATTTGTTGGCAAGTTGTTCCAATTTAGATACCTATAAGACACGAGAACTAGCTCGAGAGCTCGATAAGAGAGGTAAATGTATACTTACATTTTGAAATGCACGATGCTTTGAAAGTATGTCTCGTATTTCATGCAGTTTACATTTATCATGTAATTTAATATCTAATTCTTTACATATTTCAACTAATCCTTTACTTTTATTTTTATTTGGACCACACTCAAAATAACAATCGATGCTTTTTGTTGCACCGTTCTCATCTATAAATTGAATTTTATCAACTGGACATCGTGTATAAATGCCTTTCCCAAAATCAAATAAACTATATTGTTTAGAAGTATGAGTTCTGGCATTATCTACCAAAACTTCAATAACATGGTTTCGATAATCATCTTTAAATTCCATCAATTGAAATAATCTCTCAAACTGAGCCAGTATTGTGTCATTATCAAAATATCCATCTACTCCGACGTTTACACTAGCTGTTGCTGATCGTTCAGCGTAATTAACGTCAGTATCGTCCAATAAGTTTTTGTATTTTTTAATTGCTTTTTTATATTCATTATCATTCAATTGAAAAAACGGACCGGATGGATGTAAGACAATAAAATCACTGATCATGAGAGAACGACCATGACCTTTGCTGAAAAAAGGTCTTTTTTCATCAAAAATCCATCTTTTCGGAGAAACTTCTCCGCTACGAAATGTAGATTCGTCGTGACCTACAACGTGAACAGAAAAGTCTAAGTGACATAGTGCCTTAGAACCACAATTTGGTCTGCTTACATAACAATATTGTAGGTGGATTTTTAGTTGGAATATTCCACATCGGTTGTTCATCATCTGTCAGAGTATAATAATTATTCTTTCGTGATAAGAAATATGAAATAAATTCTTCTCTGTATTTGACTACATCAGCTCGTTCGTGTCCTTCGAAGTAAGGTCGTTGTGAATTCGGTACAAACTTTGCTCCCCATCTTCTAAGATCCAATCTGCAGCTACTCTCTGATCGAACTGGTTCAACAAGTTGTTTAACACTTTCGATAGTTTCGTAATATTTATCATCAATGAATTTGACTAAATCAGATGTTTTAAAAGCAGCTGATTTCTTTGAACACTGTTCAAGTACAAACATTTTTGCTTCAACTTCAATCTCCGGGAATGAATCAAAAAACGAGTCTGCCTGTTTTCCACCACGATTTTCTGTTATATACTCCTCATAACCACCCTTTACAAATATTTGAGCCCATTTATGAGACGTTTTACATGTCATTAATCCAATATCTTTTAGAAATGTATCAATATTTTCGCATTTAACCTTGAAATGTCTCAATGTCATATACAATATTACACTTAAATTTTTCAAACCCGAGTTTCGCTTAATCATTTCAACTAAATCACTTATATCTGCAATTATTCCATCACTAAAATCTATTTCAGCCGTGTCCATATAATCATTATCGCTTGATTCCTCACGTGCTTCAGATACATTTTCATTTGACCACCTTGTTCTTAATGCAGTGCGTAGTTGAGAATTTCGGTGCCTAAGTTTTGGCATATTGGTAATATAAACGGAACTAATAGAATTAAAAAACGATAATGTTATAACAGACTATGCCTTCGATATTATTCTTTTTCCTATTTTTCTTATTCCTATTTTATCTTCGATATGAGAGTAAATTTTATATTGATGTTCGTGCTAGTATTTCATTTTTCTTATTTTTCACACATCTCTTCTTTGTTTTTATCGTTGGTGTTTTTTCATTTATTCATACCTGTGCATTTTTTTTTTTCATAGTCAGACAGACAGAATAAAGGACGATTAAGAGTTAAAAGAATAGGATCATTTAGTTCAGGGAAGACCTTAGTAAATCTGAAAAGATAAAAGATTCATTTTTACTCAAGCCATAGGAAAAAGAGAAAGGTCATTTTAGAATAAAACTTTTATTTTTTAGTCAAATATCGTGAAAACAGGCCTAAATAGGTTAAAAGCGATGATAAACTCAATGAATATACTTCTGAGATTCGCAGAGGCTTTCTAGGAGATCTCTAGAAAGTTTCTCGTAGAAAATCAAGGTTTTCATAGCGTAGTTTCAGCATTTTTTCTATCTTTTCAGATTTATTAAAAAGTCTTCCCTGAACTGAACCAAAGGATCGTATCTTTTTACATCATGTTAAAGCTAACAGTTTGACGGTTGGAATGAGATAAGAGAGATGACAAAATGGATGGACACAAAAAAGTAGATAGATTTGCAAAATAACGTGCTGTTGTTTTGGAGGATCAGTTTAAATGAAGCAGGCTAAATTAGCTTTTAGGTTTGAGATCAATCAAACGTCTTCTCTATACTCAGTTTTCAATGCTGAATTTAAAAAAACTAGTTTTAAAGCTTGAAAGTAACGAGAAAACGCAAAATTTGAATTTTTGAAACTGTAGCGATTTTGAGCAGAAATTGATCCTTTAAAGTTTTTCAAAACTTAAAACTAACTTTTTCTTACTCAGCTCGATGTCCTCTATCCAATCATGTATAAATATATCAAAAGAAAAAGTCACGGAAACTTTGAATTACGGGCACCTTATAACTTTCAGTATAGCGTTTGTGGAATATGCTTTAAATGCTCAAGAGTGAGGCATTATGAGAAATAATGATTCATAAGTTAACGAAATATTCCAGCTGAGTAAACCTATGTTTTCATCAAATAATGAATTGAAATTGCATAACAAGCTGTAGGAGTATTAATATCTTCGACAAATCGTCAATATTATTCAGTAGAACAAAGAAAACCTTCAAAAAGAGATTTATTTAAAATAACAATGTCGTATTCGACTGTCTTTTTTGTTTAAAAATGTAATAAAATAGTAGTACTACATACTTAAGTATGCAAAAACAAAAACTAATATAGAAATATCACTAAGAAATAAAATTTCTTTATGAGTCTACCTTGAAACAGTTGGTATTTTGGACTTATTACATAAACAAAACTATTTCCAGAGGTGCGCAATAACGTGAAAATAGGCCTAAATAGATTAAAAGCGATGGTAAATTCAATGAACATACTTCTAAGATCTTTTTATATGATATCACTGTGGCTGTATAAAGTTACGATTGCGGAGAGCAAAATTTTTTTCTATTAGTAAAAACAATTAAAATAAAATAAATTCATCAGATCCATTAAATCAAATTTACTAACTATTTTACGGGTTCTAAACCTGGAATGTTGTTCGCAACTAACTTGAATTCATAGGTAATCGTCTGTCATACATCTAATGAACCAATACTCGACGCCGTCAGAGAATCTTTACGGAATTTACAGAGAACTTTTTCAGAAATAGTAGGATGAGAATATTGTGATAGATCTCGTACAATGCGTTTTCATAGAAAATCGACTATGGCGGATCCAGTGGTAAATCTATACGTCCAAAATCCCTAAATCTCTAAAAGAACCTTTTCGGCAATATTTAAAGTTGATGCTCGACAGAGAACATTGATAGAAAATTGAATATTTTGTTAGAGCTTCATATTTCAATAAACCCTGAACGGTTTTCTGGAGATCCTTCTGTAACCCATGAAGGTCCTCTAAAGATCTGGAGAATATACCCATTGGATGCACCATAATTGATTAACTATGAATCCACTTTTCTGCGCATAATATTTAGCGTTGAAATTGGATTATTGAAGGAAGACGTTCTCTTAATTGGTCTAAATAAAAAAGCAGATGACATTTATTTTAATTTCTCATCGTAACATTGCACAACTAGGGGTGGCACATTTTCTTTACTGATGCGTTACTTTACTGAGTAAAGCAACGCTTTCAAATATCACCGTATGAGTGACAAACAACCGAAAATGTATTGTTTTATCACCTACCGGACACAATGCGACTAAAGCGTTACTGTATTATGCGTTACTAGTAACGAGTAACGCATGCGTTACTGCGTTAAAGTAACGCAATGCATGAGGGAAAATCAACCCTTAGTCCGAATAGCTTTATGCGCTGTAGCTCTCTCAGCACTTTCTTGTTTTGACTTAGACCAAATAGCTGTAAAAGTTGTCATTCTACCAGCTCAAAATTTTGTTTTATCACACTGAGACAATCTGATGACACTTTATAGAGTAGTGGTCAAGACAAGCTCCAACAATTTTAAATACCATTGGCTTGAAGAATAAGGAAATGTTTACCTCATCTCATGAAAAATATACCATAGTTAAGACAGTTCAGATGACTGTATTCTGATCCCTCGAATTAACCACTGTTATATGACAAGTTGTTATTCTCAGAAAGTTTTCTTACTCAGCCTCTAGAATTTATGACAATGGTAAAAAAAAAGAAAAAGCAGGATAGTGCTTTTAAGTTTCGAATGATTAATGTAGTTATTGCGATGACGAGTTTTAGCAAAGTTGACTAGCACATGTTTTCATTTTTGCCATTCACTTTTTCAAAAGGTTGTGCCATTGAGACCTGGAACATTCAGGTCCTAAACCCGAAACAAGAATTGATCTATTTCGTATTGAGTGTTTTTTTCGAATGGTGAATGCTGAATGTCGGCATCCGTTCAGAATTAGGTAGCACTGACATGAATCATCAAGAACATTTTATTATCATCTCTAGTTCTTGTTTTCACTTATACTGATATTAACGCTGTTTTCTTGCTGGAATGACGAAAGAACAACAACGCACGTAAGAACATAAAATGCATAAAACGAGAGTGTATCAACTGTAACGGCATTGCCGTTACGGCAATTAGTGACAACGTTCAATAAAAGAAAAATCTGACTAATACTTCAGCATTGATGTCAATGCCAATAACGATGTTAGTTCAAATGCATGTCTACAAATCTTTGCTCAAAAGCTCCAGCATTCGCCGACTCTTCAATACCATGAAGTGTTGAACGGCCTTTGGAGAGAGAGAGAGGTGAGTTGTAGAACAACGGGAGGTATCCAGAGAGTGCAGAACACCTTACATCATAACCAGATGTTCACAGTAATACCATAGCAGCCACACAGTCGAATGGAACTGAAGGGGTAAGGATATTAACACAAACAAAAACCGTACATAAAAGCAATTTTCCTCGCTGTGTTTATCGAAGTAAGCTTAACTGAAATCAGAAACTCAATCGTGCCAACAATAGTTATATCAGCAACAAACATATAAATATTTATTAGCTTGACTTGTATCATAAGCGTTACTGCGTTATCTGTAAAGAAACGGTAAAGCGCTACCCCTATGCACAACTACAACAGTAATATATGATGCTAAATTTTGAAAGAAATTCAGGTTGTATATCAAAAGTTATAAACAGTCCCACTGAGAGTAAAAATGGCACTTTACCTTTCCGTACTTGTAACTAGTAACGAACTTAGTTACTCCCTTACTAGCAACGAGTAACTACTTGGTTACTTAGTTACCAGTAATGACTAAGTTATTCCGTTATTTAGTTACTTCGTTAGTCTAGTTACTCCTTCCGAAAGTAACGAAAAACCGTTACTTTTGGAGTAGTGCCATTATTTCAGGAGGGGATAAGATAATCAAGAAAAGTCATAGGGTGGAAATGTTGCAATTGCTGCAACTTCACTGGTCGACGTTCTTGTGGATATTCTTGCAAGATTATTGTCTCTTGCCATTTCAGACAAGAATCCTCAATTTTGTCTTGATGGATCAGACATGATTCTTCTTTTAATTCTTTACTGATTTTTCATCGTTTTTCGTTCTTGTCTGAAGTAGCAAGATTTGTTGACGACAAAATCATCAATTTGTTTTGTCGATTCTCCTGCTATATAAGTTACATAATATAGCTCAATACTATATATATAGATGTCTTTGAAAAGTCTTTTAAATCTCATAAGATTCTTGTCAACAGACAATCGAGTCTTTACATGTGCCTGTATTGGCATCAGAGCGTCCAGCTCCTATATTTATGAAAAGAAAAAGAAAAGAAGACGGAAAATGGATTATTTATGCATTCTATTTATTTGCAGAATTCTTTTGAGAATTACAAGACAAGATTCTTGCAGGAAACAATGAGACAAGAATCTTGCAGGAAATCGCTTTCTTGTGCATTCAGACAAGAATCCGTCTCGCAATTCTTGTATGAACTGACAAGAAAGCGATTTCCTGCAAGATTCTTGTGATAAATATACATGTAAAATATTTTACAAGATACTTGTCTGAAATGCCAAGAAAGAAGAATCTTGTAAGAATTCCCACAAGAACGTCGACCAGTGTTCATAGTTGAAAAAGAAATCGAAATTGCTGCAACGATCGAATAATACGAACTCAAGTGTTTGTGGTATTTATAGTATTTTGTTTTTTTACGATATTTCTGGTTTTTATGGTATTTTAGGTATTTATGGTATTTATGGTAATTTAGATATTTACGGTATGTATCTTTTTTATGTTTTTTATGTATTAATATGTATTAAAATAATAATAATATATAGTAATAATATATAGTAAATAAATATAGTAATAATGTATTAATATTTTAGGTATTTTCGGTATTTATGTTTTATATGGTATTTCCCGTAAAGATGTCTTCTTCTCACATTGTAAGTGTAGGGTTAGGAGAATACAGTAAGTCAGGTTTATCTGATGAAATAAACAAGAGGCTGAATTAAAATATTGAGAAGCTAAGCCAATTTTGTTTTTATTTAACATCAATAAAATAAAATTCTGAATACTTTAAATAAGCCGCCAACTCGCTCAGGGTGTAAGTTTATAAAAGAGCGTCATTATCCAATTTGTCATGTATCTGTTTCGTTTAAAAAACGTAGAGAGACAACTAAAAAGCAGTTGCGTCAAGAGTACGAAATATATTTTTGCTTTTTGTCAGATTTTCACCTTATTGAATAAATGGTTTGGGTATAAAATGTTGTGTTCGTGGCTATTGACATAATCATATCATGCATTAACTGGAAATAATTTTCCGAGCCACTCGTCAAATTCATGCTTTTCACCTTGATATTTATATGGACGTGGATCACGTCGTTTGAATTCTTTTATCTTTTGTTTTATACCAGCAACTAATTTTGGATGACATTTAGCAATTTTTTGTTTTTGCTGTAAATCACCCATTTTTACCATAATCTCTGAACAATTTTTTTGAATAGCATTTAGTATTGGTTCTTCAGTTAATCTTGCCATAATAGTTAATGCATAGGATTGAATTTGTGGATCTAAAGGCGTTCTAGACATTCCTTTGAATAAAAGATCAATCATTTGATTGGCATTTTTTTTATCAACCATAAATTCATTAAGATCATCAATAACACCGGCACCAAAAATTGATTTTGCTGATCGCTCTTGAATTCTTGAAAATATTTGTTCAATTATAGCATCACTAAGATGAAGACGATAAACACCACCTTCATCTTCATTTACTGTCAATTCATTATCATTATCGTCATCGAAAAATTCATTATTATCGTTATCACCGCTATTTATCTTTCGAATTGTTCTTGCTCTTGATAAATCAAGTACAGCTAATATAATAAACAATGAAGAAATTATTGTCAGTTTCATGATGGTTCCGTTTTTCGTGGATGGTTACTTTATCGTGGAAGAGTTACAGTTGTTTGGTATGATAAATGATAAAACTTATAAAATACTTGTGTTGACTATGGTTCCGTTTATCTTTCCTATTTTATGTAGGCACAACAAGAATAAATACAATTAAAAGTAATTGATGAGAAAAGCTGTTTTCTCTTCTTCTGATCATTGTCTATTTCTTTCGCATTTTTATTATCAAACTGAATAATCTTCAGAAACAGGAATTAAACGAGAATCTTCGAAAGGAAAATATTAATTAAATATATTTGATCAGTTGTTTGATGTTATTTAGCAAGAAGAATGAAGGACATGTCAGTTTCTGCTCTTTTTCAAATCTTTATTTTCAATACTATAACGCTCATTATTTGAGCTTGATAATGTACATTGTAATGGTATCTCATCCGAGCAGCATTATGGTATGGATTTGGATGTCTGTCGGTTTCTCAGACAAAGTTCAAAAGGAACAAGTAGTTTGATCTGAGCTAACTCTGTGTTCTAGCCGAAATCATATGGTGATACAAAAAAGAAAAATCGATAGCGCAGCTATGTAACAATTGCTAATGTTGCACAATTTACACTTAAAAATAGGGTATTGGTTTTCGTAATCTAAGGTTACAAAACCATTTGTCATTTTTGTTAATTATAGCTACAACAGAAACTCAATCCAAATAGTATTTTTTTATTGTTTCTTGGTAAACATAAAAAATATATCATGCAGTTTAGTGAAACAAGAAAAACATGTATTTAGAAAGAAATGAGTTTAAGTGACTTGTTACTGAAGTAAATGGTTGTATTAGGCACTTGCAGAATGCCATTTCAGTAAGCGAAAATGTCTATCTATTTTTGTTTGTTTCTTCTTCCTTTTCTATTATACTACTGAATCTTTTACCTAAAACTTTATTAATTCTTCTTGAGACGCACCTCAATCACTGCGTTATCCTATGTTCCGTATTTAATGTATGTAAAAGTCTCCGTGCATTTTTATTAAAAACCTTCTCTGCTTTCGTTTCGCTACTTGACTTAAACTGGGTTGAGATTGTCCGTTTGTACTAAAATTTTTTCTTCAATGTCATGCCTCAGAGTACACGTGTATTCTCTTTTCTAGATTAAATGATATTTATTGCCTTTTGAAGGAATTGATAGATGTTTTTATGTTGAGTATTTGACAGGTTGTTATAACCTTTATTTAGTAAGAAGACAAGAAGAAAAAGGATTACGTTAAAAATAAATATAAGAACAGTACAAAAAGAAAGAGGAAAAACCCATGACATCATTGTGTCTGTTCATGAAGAAAAAAGTTGCTAGTATACATTATTATTATAAATTTCCCATTTCCCAAGTTGTGCTTATATACTTATTATTATATATTAAATTATACATTAATATATTAAATTGTATATTAATATATTAAATAATATATTATATTATTTATTTTACAAGTTCATCTAGATGTTGATAATTTATGCTGAAGAGGATTAAATTCAACGAATTGACAAAATATGTTGGTATAAAATTTCTTTTCATGCAAGATTCAGAAATTGTTAATATACACTCTTTTGTCCATTCTATAACATCTTGCAAGTATTCCTCACACGCCAAAGGCTCATCTGGAGATGTATATGATTATGCGAGACCAAAAATAACGATCGTAATAAATCAGCTGATGTTTTATTCTTGTTTTTCTGTTCTAATTTTGTTAGCTGTTCTGAGAGAATAGTATAGAACGTATTTTTTAAAATATAAGATGTGATATAACGAGTTGGTTGTATTTCACATGTATCCAGGTCTTCGAGGTTCATTGTATCATTTTGAGTTAACCTTACGGGATATTCTTTAAATGTAGGCTCATACTTTTGCGCGGTAGTTAGAGCTGTTAAGGCTTTATCATATTTCTGTCCGTCGCCGTTTTCCAATAATTGATTCAGTTCAAATTCTTCTGGAGTTATCTTATTACGGTAAAAAATGCAACGACAGAAATGCGCAAATGGTCTCCAGCATATAAAACTCACTGCTAGACACACAAAACAACAATTTAATAGCTTAAATGAATTGAATCGTTTGTAATAGTTTCTCGCTGTCCCCATATTTTTTAATATTGATCATAATCTGAGAGTTGAACTATACTATTCAGTAGAACAGAATGACTTAATGCTTTTGTTAAGATATATGCCATTCGTATGGGTTTAGGTAAATAGTGACCAAATAAATTTTCCATTATACTGAACGATATTCGAAGATATATTATGTTATCAGTTTCGAAACTTGAATGCATAACAAGTGTCGCGTGACAAAATGGCTTGAAATTAGTAGACACTTGGGTAGCTGTAAGTTCTCCTGCTAAAACAGACATAACGAGAGCTTTCAAGAATATAGACTGCGTTCGACTGTTGTTCTTGAAGAATTTATGAAAAATCTTTAGAGAAACCTCCAGTCATGAGTATGTAGACGGTTGAGCCGTGAGACGACATTTTCGCGGACGACATTTCCGCTAAGACTTATTTATTGGAAAAGAAGAATAAATGAGCCTGGTTTTGTATTTTGTATATCATATTTTCAAGTCTGAGTGAAGTTGTGTGGTTAATAGTCATTATGTGATACAGTTACAAATATCCAGTTTCACTGCTTATCTTGTTTGACCGGTTTTCTCTTCGGTACACGATAAGCTGAAGCTCGCTATTTATAGCAGTGCAGAACCCGTGACACAGCCTTTCCGCGAACAGTACTGCGACTCTTCCACGCATTTGCTACGGGCTGCTCTATTGGCCTTATTCGTGAGTATTTTTTCCATCAACCGACGTTTGAGCGACCGATACCTGAGCGACCGACATTTGTGCAACCCCGACATATGAGCGACCCCGACATTAGACACTTTTCAATATGACTTTTTCCCGATCAGGAAAGTCGAATGATTATTCACTTCGATAACGATTAATAACGATGATAAGAACAATTTTTTTGTCGTCCGATTATGAACTGAATTATTTTGAGATCTGTAGAGGGTGAGCAGCTATAAGTGATGCGCTTCGCTCAATTGTTGGAGTCTTTCAAATGCGGTCGCTCAAATGTGGATCGCTCAAATGTCGGGGTCGCTCAAGTGTCGGCACTCAAATGTCGGTCACTCAAACCTCGATTAATCATTTTTTCAATAGCATATAGGAAAAAGGATGAACGAATGTAAGCTAGAAAAAACTTCTTTAATCAAATTTGATAATTTGGATGGAAAATGTTATTTCAGTATTTCATAACTTAGCTTCCACAATTTCCATCTAAGGTTTCTGACGTCTGAGATATCCTTCAAGAATCTCATAAAATTTTGGTCTAAATTTTGATCTAATATAATCTCTTGGAATATTTCAAACTTATTTTTCTACTAAAAACTTATTTTTTCAGCAAATAATTAAAAAAATGAGTTTCTTTTACCGAGAACTTATTTTTTTAATTTTCTTACTAAAAAACTGATAAAAAAATTATATTTAGCAAAGATTAGTTTTTGGTAAAATCTCTAGATGTCTTAGACCGGATAGATCCGTTGGACGTTTTTAGAAGGGTCTAAGTGGGTCTAAGTAGGATTTAAATTTTAAATCAAATTCACAATTCTCTCCTATCTCAAGAAAAGGGCAATATTTTATAAAGTTTAATCAAAGTTTTTAGGGGGTGGGTAGTCCGAATCCGTCGTTAGTTTCAAAAATTCAAAGTCGATTTTTTGTCTGTAAGGGGGAGCGGGAAAACTTCGACTTAAAACTTACACTCACATTTATCTGTGAGTTCCACAAAAAATTAAGATTTTATCATTTAATTAACTCAAGATATATACAAAATAAAAAAATCCTTCCAAGCATTTTCAGCACGCTGGGAAGTAACACTTCCATGTAGCTTGTTCATTTGGATTATAGGAAAACCATTAAGACAATCCAACAGAATTTTCTTTATGAATGTTTTGTAGAGCTTTTCACGGCGCATCGAAATTGGACTATGCCACCTGATGAAACCCTTCAGCAAGGTCGAAATTGCGATCGTGGCTGCTTGTTCTAGGGAATTTTAATTAAGAATACAACAATATTATCGATACCCATAACATTATTCCTTTTCTTTCATTTCCACAACGTGCTCCTAGATACTAAGGCTCGTGTTCTTCTGACATGGATCAACAAAAATCTTATCTTACTGTTCGCATTTTCATTATATTCTATTTATTTCATTGGCGGCTAATTTGATTTGAACATGCGTCGATAAACGATAAATACCACGAACATCTATATTGATCCATAAAAGTCTTTTTTTACCTTTACCTTCTTCTTTGTCTATACATTCTGAAATAGTATCAAAACTCTCATTATCTCTTAGTTTATCTGACATACCTATATCGAATTTTTAACGCAGACACTCACCATGCTAAATCTCTCCAACAACCCATCGCAGCTGTCGGAGCACAACATCTAGGTCAGGTGTTACGAAAGAACACGGTGACCTTCATTCCTCTCATATACCAACATCCACTTTTTAATACAGGCACTTACAAAATCAGATCTCTCTTTCAATCAAATCGGTGACACAGAAGCAGAACATCTGGCGCAGGCATTGCAAATAACAAGGTGATTCTTGTTCTCGTCACATTTCACTCACATACCAATATTCACTTTTTTAACACAGACACTCGTCGAACTAAGTCTCAGACACAATGAAATCAGAGCTCACGGAGCACAGCATCTAGCTGAGGCATTACAGAAGAACAGAGTGAATGTCATTTTTTCTTTACCTCTCTTGTATACCAATATCTATTTTTTATCACAGACAATCACCACACTAAGTCTTTACGAAAATCGAATCAGACCTGGTGGAGCACAACATTTGGCTCGGGCATTAGAAAATAACAAGGTGAATGTCCTACTCTCTTCATTTCACTGATTAACTAGTAGTATATTAGTAGGGAAGTAGGGGTTTCGCGATATTTTCAGCCTTAATGGAGCTTACTGTCAAGATTTTGCACTGACATCATCGCTGAGGAGGAAAGACCATTCCCAAGGAATTTTCTTGACGTCATAAATTTCCTTTTCACGGGTTAATCATTTTTTAACTCATTTGTCAGTACGAAATATTAATAAACTTAGACACATTAAGTAACTTGAAAAAATTTCGAAGGCGTTTACATGCGTTAGATTCAGCATACCAAAAGTAAACGAAACAGTTGTAACCTATTAAAAACTCATTAGTGCGTTATATGAATTAAAAGGAACTGTTTTTTGCATTAGCCTAGCAAAAAAGGCGTTTTAGTCTCATATCAAATTATTTTAACGAATTAATTACATTAAATTTAAAACACGCACGAGCGTTTTTTAATGCATTTAGAAAATTTTGGGGTTAAAGCTAATGTAATACGGAAAGGAAAAAGGAAATGAATGGAACACACATAGCACACAAGACACTAGTACAAATGTGCTTTTAATCGAGCTTTTTCTTCTATACCTGAATAGAGAAGAATCTAATGAAAAATCAAGATTTTTCGCTCGCTTTTACCTTAACGTTCTTGGAAGGTGAATGGAGACCTTGAGCTTTTATGCTGCAAAAAAGAACGAAACAAAGTAATTCTTGAAAAAGCACTTTTGATTATACATATTCGTTCAAAAAGCGCAAGAACTAAATAGTCTTATTACATGAATACTGATGTTCGTTCAGAAATTTGCGGTCTACAACCATGCCTCATTAAGAAAGGTTTTGGTTATTTTTTAGAGTTTCTGAAAACCTGGTTTTCCATAAACCCGCTCTCTGGAGGCCTAGCAGCACAAACCGATGCCAGATTCGGATTTAGCGCAGTCGATTACCTATTGTCCACCAGAGTTCAAGCAAAAGCGATGCACACTTGGGGACCTTTCCTCGTCAGTAATATGACGAGATTAGCGGATACAATATTAACACTGTGAGATACTCTGTTTTTCATCAGAATCACGATGGCACAACTGCAACAATGTGACTATTCTGTAACTTCCTCATGAATTCCACAGAGAATACAATACATGTGAAAAATCATGCATGGAGAAAGAAAAGAAAAAATAACTTTTTCTCAAAATTCATTTTACGATGTCAACTCTATCAAAACAGAACTCATTCTTTTCTGAATAAAACGGAAAGGAAAAAAAAATGAATGGAACACACATAGTAAACGCAGTGCAATGTGACTTTGTATAATTTTTTCTAGTAAATGTAGGAAGAAGAATAAAGAGGTTAGTAAGTGTATTTGACAACAATGTAAAAACTGGAGAAGATTTATGCGACATGGAGAAAGTATCGCTCTTCAAAAGCTTGAATGTGAATTGCCACAAGCCCTGACTTGTGAAGACTTTAATTGCTTTTAAAAACAAGGAATATTAACTTCTTGTCAGAAGGATTCTACGCTCTAAAAATCGGGAACAATCAGCATATCAACGAAGAGACGCAACTAGAATACTCCGGATAAGCACAGAATCGACAAGAGGAAAGTTTGAGGACAGCATTCGATACTTTACTAATCAATAATGCCATAGAGTAGTTGTACGTCTCAAACACTTTTGTATCAATGTGAATGCACACAGTTACAAACTTTTTGTCTGCTTTAGCTGAATCAGAATGGGACAAGAGCACACGAACATCGACAAGTATTACGGAGAGACCACTCTGCATTACACTAATGACGGACCACCCATTTTTGAGTTCACAAACAAGACATTCTATGACATATATGTCAAGCTCATGATTGGCCACACGAACCTAAAACTCAGTACCATTATTGCCAGAAGTGCAACAGTTATAAAAAACACCGCAGATACGATTGAACTCGTCGTCGTCGTTCCTCCAGATACCGTCAAGTTTTATATAGCCCAACTGTATGCTGCTAAACACGTTTCGTGGACTTACAGACTTGAACACATTTCAATACTTGGCAATCCTGATGCCAAGCATAATGACAGCTATAGATACCACATACCGGTTAAACTCGATTCCGTCAAGGTTGGTCAAGCATTTGGCGGTAGAGTGTCACATCAGGATATCCTCCACTACTCTATCGATTTTGACATCCCTGAAGGCACTCAGATTATCGCTGCACGTGACGGTATTGTATGTCATGTGAAGCAGGACAGTGTCGAACAAGGAACGGACCGTAGCTATTCAAACAAAGCTAATATGGTTATCGTGCGTCACATCGACGGTACATACGCCAATTATGTCCATCTACAAAAGAACGGAGTTCACGTCGAACTGGGCCAGTTTGTAAAGAGAGGTGATCATCTTGGCCTGTCAGGCAACACCGGATGGACAACCGGTCCTCATCTTCACTTTCACGTCAGTGTACAACGTCTGCCTGATAAGGGCACAGAGCAGGTGTCAATCCCGTTTGTGTTTGATAACGGATCTGCTGAAGGATTTGTGCCCAAGGAAGACGACATACTCACTGTGTTCTCCGCTGGTATTGCTTCTATCGAGCCTATCAAGATCATCGAATACGATCTAACAAGTACGTGTAGTCGTGGCGATCTTACTCTTACGTACTATTTGGTTGATAACTGTTTACCGCCTGTTGTTATGTTCAGCAACAAGACCCAAATAGCTGTAAATCTCAAGACTGAAATTATTCATACGAACTTGAAGGTCAAGAGCATCGGTGAAGGAGTAGTTGTGAACATCTGTACATCGGACAAGATTGAATTATCTTGTGGCGTACCTGCCTACGCTAATCGACTTTTCATCAGTCAGCTTGAAAGTATTGTTACCAATACTGCGTGGAAATTTTCAAACCTTTCATTCAAATATACTTTCTAATAGTTGAAATAAACATATACTGGCAATGAGAAATAGACGAGCGGAAAGAGCAAAGAAGAAAGAATTTGACAACTAAGTAAACAAAAATAGATGAGGAAACAGAACTTAAACTAATGCTGCTATCGCTTTTATTAGGATTTTAATAGGCGAAAACAATAAGGACAAACAACTCAATGAAATTTTTTGACCTATTAGATTTCCTTCGAATGCGTTAAATCAATATTTGCTACCTTCAATAGCTCTGAACGCATGAAATGGATAGAAAAAGGTTTTAATGTGTTTGTTTGAATGTCTGAAAAGCTAATGTATTTCGGAGCCTTAAGTTTCTTGAGTTTCGTAAGGCATTTGTAAAAGTTCAACGCCTTCAAATGTCTGTTTAACTACTATCCGTTTCAAAATACAGTATACTCGCTCACTTTTTTAATAAGTTTTGAACGAAATGAGATGGAGACCTGCGGCTTTCCTTATCTTGCAGCCAAGGCTTGACAAAATCGTTCTGTGAAATATCCATGTCCCATATACCACTTGTGGGTGGTGCTCCTTACTCATCTTCGAAGGAGAAGTTTAAAGATCTCGCAAAGCACGTCAGATGAATTCTGCATTGTTTTTTACGTAGATCTAGTTCTATAACTCCATTTCAGCTAAAATAAATATATTATTAAAAAAATGACCTGCGCGTTTATAGTAATAATTTATTTTGATTTTGATATTGTCCATCATTTATTAAAATAAAAACAACGTACCTAATATGAATAGAGTGACTGATTGTATTCCTGTAGTTAAACGACAATTGATTCAATGGAAAATTCCGAATAACGAATCCGATAGTCCACGGTTTTTAGGTCATCTGATAAACGTTTAAGTACTATTCATTTCTCTGATACAACACGAGATAGTCAACAAATTAGATTTTCATTCAAACTTGAAGCAATTGAAGTAACTCATTTTTTCGCTATTTTCTCGGGTTTTCAGACGTGTTATTCGTCATTAGGAGCCCAACTTGTACTAGTCCTGTTACTCTCGAACAATTTGGACAAGATCCATGTAAACATGGTACGTTCTCGAAAGAACAACCCTTCACATAATGCTATATTTCTATTGTTTGAGATGTACCGTTTCGCAATGTGTGAGAAATTGTGTAGATAATAGATAAGAAAAAGACGGAATGATTAATGGCAGCTTCGTAGATTCAACGGAAGAAAATATATCTAGCACATATCTCCTTAATAATAATCATCATCACATAAATCAGAGTTTTCATCATCAGAAGGTTCATAATTGCCAAATAATTTAGCACAACTTTCTAAACGTTGACGTATGTGGATCAATTGTGTCTTGGTCAATGGTAATACTATTTGGTATAGCCGTTTTTTGATCATTTGTTGAAAATATTCCCCTTCTCTATTCTTTCCATCAAAATAATCACGTGTCAATAATTCATTTAGTCTTTCAACACCTTGAATACTAAATGCTTTCGAATTATTAAACTGATCATAAAATTCATGAAGATGACTAGTAAAAACATATAAATAAGGAGTGATTTGACCGACTCCAAATAAAGGTGCATATTCTAATCCCCATTGTTTACATTTTTCTTTTAAATTGGTGACAAGTTGTCGTTTTTCTTGACCTCGAGCGTTTGTTTTACAGCATTCCAGAATTAATAATAAATTCTCGATTAAATTTATAATTCGTTTGTGTCTGTTTTCATCGTCAATAATAACGTCAAATGGAAGAGTTCTAGTCTACTTTCCATGCCGAACATCAATCATTGAACTAGCCACACATATTCTTTTATTTTCTAATGAAAACCGGACATCTGTCTAATTTGGAAATATTATTCGAAGTTTAATACTTCGAGAATTTTTAGTACAGTCATACTTTTGTGTGTTTTGAATGTTGTTTGAGGAAGACGAAGGCCTTTTCTAATTGCTCATCAGCTGATTCAAGTATGCTCTCTGATAATTTCTGTAGTGCACAAGCAGCTTTTATCGCCCATTTCAACAGAGTATCCTCTACTTCATCCGTAACAAATCCGCTGATATATTTTTGTACCTAAACATAAATATTAGAGAATTGTACAGTAAAAATACAGCTACGATATGTAGCGTTAAGTTTCGCAAGGCATTTGTAAAAGTTCTACGCCTTTTGATGACTTACACTCAATTCAAACTCAAATTCACCAGATCGTCGGGCCGATGACAACACGTGCTCATGTACAAGATGAACCGCTCTTTCATTCTGTTAGATAGTGGCCCCTTTGTTTCATCCACTACCACTATTGTCCATTATCTTTCATTCGTTCTTTTTTTTTATAGCTGTACAATCATACGTCATCGACGCTGCTGCAACATGGTTTCGGTACAATAAAGCTATTGTGCACGATTGTCCAACATTCAAGACCGAAATTCTCCAAGCTTATCGAGCGTCACTCAATCGAACTCTTGTTAAATTAGAACAAAGACAACAACAACCTACTGAGTCTGTTATGCAATATTATCACAGTGAACTTCAATTGTGTGTACAAGCAGATTCAAACATGAGTGATGCAATGAAAGTACATCATTTGACAAAAGGATTGCGAAGATCACTGACTGATCAGGTTGTTCGTAAACGTCCATCAACACCTGATGATTTTTTGAAAACAGCTCAAGACGAAGAGAAAGTCAAAGAAACCTTAGATGGATTGTCTAATCTTTCACTCCATCCTGCTGATGATTATCCGCAAGATGACGATCATGTCGATGATACAGTTGCCGTACTCAAACAGGCCACGGGCTCATACAAACGTTCAGACTTGTCTCAAAAACAGCAGTCATCTATCGGTTCAAGTATGAATGATGAATCCGTCGATAAATATGTTCCACCACCAGTTCGTCATAACACTTACCAATATTCTATAGATGGCGTCACCTCCACAAAGAAGAAAAATCCATTATTCTCTTGTTCATCTTCGATCAGGGTGCCAGTCAACGGTCTTGTTACAACAGGTCTCGTCGATGCCGGTGCCGCTATATCCATTATTCATCAAGACACTCTGAAATATATGCAACACAAGAAAATTGACAAATGTATTTTGACAGAAGTTCACACAGTCAACAGTGGATTTATTCAACTCATTGGAATTGTAAAACTCAGTGTTCGCATAGATCATATTCTCACCACCATTGATGCATCCATTTCTCGTGACTTAATTTGCGAGATGATATTGGGAAGAGATTGGATTCAAAAGAATTATGTCGACGTTTGTTTTTCAACTAACCGAGTTTACGTTCATTATCGAACTACGTCCGTTCCTATGTTACTTCTACCACGCAGTAAAAAGGTGATAATGACGCTACCATATTCTATTGTTATTCCACCATATCATGAGAAATTTGTCAGGGGTATCGTTCCGATTCAGTCATCGAATCAAGTTTTTTTCACACCGAATACTGCGTTACAACGTTCGAAACTTCTTCTCATTCTGTTCTAAAAATTCGTGATCATTGTGCCATCATTTCGATTAAGAACCCAACGCGACATCCACGAATGATTTCGTATAATACGGCTCTAGGCGTTATCACACAACCCGAAGTTGACAATAATATTAGTATTATTAGTGTTTCCCATACAAATTCATGCGATATTTCGCTTCATCGTCCCGTTTTATTCTCATGTGATCGTTGTCATGTCGAATTTCACAATCGGAAAAAATTGTATGAACATCTTTGTCATTGTGTGAACGTTTCTCAGTCGGCTGCACCCAAAATCATTACCGATGTAGTAAGACATATTGATGATCCCATTAAACAGACCAAAGTGCGCACTATGCTCGACCAACATGAGAAACTTTTTGACAGTTCATATTCAGGTGGAATTGACTGTCCAGCACAATATGCCATCAACACCGGTTCTCATTATCCTGTAGCTGAGCATCCACGAAAAGTATCATATTCAAATCGAAAAATCATTAGTGATGAAGTAAATAAAATGGCTGATACTGGTATTATTAGTCCATCCAATTCGCCTTGGTCATCACCCTTGGTGAAGAAAAAGGATGGCACTCCTAGATTTTGTGTTGACTACCGAAAGTTGAACTCAATCACACAGAAAGATGTATATCCGTTGCCTCGTATGGACGACGTTATCGAACGATTAGGAGGATCCACGATTTTTTCCAAACTTGATTTGAAAAGTGGATACTTCCAGGTTCCCCTCGCACAAAGTAAACGAGAAAAGACAGCATTCGCTACACCGGATGAACTGTGGCACTTCAATCGATTACCACAGGGTTTGAAAAATGCTCCGCCCGTTTTTCAACGGTTGATGAATCAAACTCTCGGATCGTTACGTTGGGAGGTATGTCTTGCCTACTTGGACGATATAATTGTGTACTCGAAGTCGTTTGATCAACATCTTAGAGACGTCGACAGAGTTTGTCACGCGTTAAATGTATCAAATTTTAAATTAAATTGTGAAAAATGTGCATTTTTTCAGAATGATATATTGTTCCTCGGTCATAAAATAAATAGCGAAGGTTGTTTACCAACGGATGACAACATCAGAGCCATCACAAAATTTCCTGTCCCAAAATCTAGTAAAGCTGCTCATTCATTTTTACAAATGGCAGGATTTTATCGAAAATTCGTTCATCATTTTGCCGAAATATCATCGCCCTCAACAAATTCACTCGCAAAGGAATTCCATTTATATGGACTCAAGCAGAACAAACAGCATTTGATCTTCTCAAAGTTGCTGTCACATCACCACCTGTTCTTCATCTACCGGATCCGTCTCAAGAATATACAATTCGAAGCGATGCATCGAGATTAGGAATTGGTGCTGTGCTATCACAAAAAGTTACAATTGAAAATGACAGTACACGACCCGAACTTAGCTATAAACCGACTGCATTTGCATCAAGAAGTTTAAAACCGGCTGAGAAGAATTACTCTGCTATTGAGTTCGAAGGATTAGCTATTTGGTGGAGTGTTACACAAAAATTTCGCCCATATATTGAAGATCAAAAGTTCTTCATAGAAACAGATCACAGGCCATTGACATCACTGATGAAAAAGCCATATCAAAACGGTCGTATAGAACGATGGATGGAAACCTTACAGCAATATGATATGATATTGCGACATATTCCTGGAAAAGAAAACACAACAGCCGGTGCTCTTTCACGATATCCTGTTGATAAACCTGATACTAGCGACAATGACGAACTTTATTCCGTCACCTCATCATCAACTCAGACCCACAATGTTAAAATCAATACCATCACTACTCGCTCAATGACTCGACAGAAACAGTCTACATATATATCGAAACCTCTTACTCGTTCACAACAGAATCTTCTACCACAACAGAAAACAACTACAACTTTAACATCAAATTTATCGACGACAGCGATTTCTGCTTCGAAGTCATCTATTCCTGCTATTCGAGACGTACAAGTTTTTTTTGATGATGACGTATTGAAAACACATCAAGACAATGATCCATATCTTCGGAAAATTAAAGGCACTGTTCCATTGAATTCGCGATATGCGATAGATAAATATGACATTCTCTTTAGAATTCTCACTAGAAAGACAGGACAAACAGTTCAATTACGTTATATTCCATCGTCATTAGTGTCAAATGTTTTATTAGCATATCACAATTCAACATTTAACGGTGCTCATTTTGGCATTAAACGTACCTTTTACAAAATTCGCGATCGTTTCTATTGGCCCAAAATGTATAAAGATATTGAGAAACATGTGTTATCTTGTATTAATTGTAAGAAGAACAAACATTCTCGGCGTAAATCTGACGGTCATTTACAGCCAATTGAGCCACCTGTCGACATTTGGGAACGAGTTTCAATGGATTATATGGGGCCAGTACCACGTTCTCGTTCTGGCAAACTATATTTCATTGTGGTTACGGATATGTTTTCTAACTGTGTGGTTACTAAAGCTGTAGAAGATCACACTGCAAAAACAGCAGCCAAAAGTTTTATTATACGATGTATTCATGATTTATGGGGTTCCTGAAGAAATTATCACCGACAATGGTACACATTTTACACCCTCGTTGTATGAAATATTAGTCGCGTTAACCTGATGCTGTCACATTAAAACAACTCCGTATCATCCTCAAGCGAACGGTCAGTGTGAGCGTCACAACGCGACCTTAGTACCAAATTTGGTAGCGTTACCAAATCAATCAAGGTCAAATTGGGACGAAAAGCTACCTCCAACCACGTTCAATCACAACACTACTCGACACAATACTACTGGTTATTCACCGTTCGAACTGATGTTTGCTCGACAATCTCGTCTCTTCGCTGATCCATCATCAACATCAATAACATTTCCGGACCAACAAAATATCATGACGATATGCAACAATTTATCGAACACATCAAAATTGCTGCACGTCGAAACAATGTAAAAAGTCAGCAAAGAGTGAAACAACGATACGATAACAATCGGTCCAATCCGCATTATCAAATTGGTCAGAAAGTATTAATTCGCAACCGTGATCCAGCAAGAAACAAATTTTCGCCGAAATTTATTGGATTGTATATCATTATTCGTAAATTGAGTCAACAGACATATGTTGTTCAACATAACCGCACGGGGAAAGAAGTTCAAATAACCGTGCAGGATATATGATCCATTGATTAAAAAGCATGAAAAATAATGCAAAAAAACATCTAGTATGCCAGATAAAGATATTGAACTCTTTATGAAATCAAGTCAGAATTGATACTGTTAGCACATAGATAGTTTAGCAATGCTTGTCGGGGAACGTAATTAACTCTCTGGCAGATGGGCTACTGCACTGTGTGATCAGAATTCATGATACGATGACACAGTTGAGATGTGTGCTTTATCATTAACCCATTGCCCGCTGACGACATCATTGAATAGAACAAATTGGGCTACTGATATATCAGTAGACAGCGTGCAATGTGTTAATGAACAAATTACTGCCGCAAATCTCTCCTTTGTTTTAGCTGCATTTTGATAGTGGCGTGCATTGGCTATTCATTAACATTGATTTATGATCTACTGGCCATTTAGATTATACATCTGTGTTATACGAGATGGCACAAGATTAACTAGATGGCTATTAGCTAATGATCTCAAACACTCAACGTCATGATTAATATTGGTAATTGGCTATTAGTATTATATTACATTATTATGAACTCTTCAAAATGGTTTATTTCGGTTATTAATCAACCAAGTGGCTCAACTGATCCAAGTAGATGCGCATATAATTAGTTGGTAATCAGTTAACCTGGTGAATGTATAAATAGGAACAGTAATCAAGAACATTGCCCTTCAATTTGATGTGCAGCCAAGGAAAAAAAATGAAACATTGGGCGTGTTGCCCTAAATTTTTTTGAAAAAGTCTTGAATCGCAGCAGCATCAGGTCTAGTCGTTTCCAGCAACAACTCTTATCGTACACATCTCTGTTTTCTGTGTTTGTCAATAAAGCTTATATTTATTTTTCCTTATCCGTTTTAATTTTTTTTACGAAATGTATAAAGAGATACAAAAACCCGTACACAAGATTGTTCCTTTCTTTTCTGAATCTTTTTTTTTCCTGTGAACGGATGAGACCATTCACAGGTAAAGGGTGGAGGTGTTAGGTAGTGGTCCCTTTTTTTCGTCCACTACCACTATTGTTCATTATCTTTCATTCGTTCTTTTTTTCCTCCACTCCGTTTTGTATACGTGTCCGGTCGTGTTCTATTCTTTCTTTTTTGAGAATTCTATCTCTCTCCTATATATAGTCGTGTCATCGCTCATTTTTATATACTTTTTCCCTTTTGTAGTGTGTGTGTTGACTAGTCAGTGTTTGTGAGTGTGTATTTCTATTTTTAATGCAATAAAGATAACGAGAGAGAGTTGTACCTGTGTGTGCCCGGACAACAGCTAACACATTCCCAAGTATCACTCAAACTGAATGCTGATGATTTAGTAGTCCATGTACAAGATGGGCTAACCGAACCAATTTTCGATGATGAAGATGACCAAAATACCGTTCCACAACATTAACCTTCGCCAACGCCTAATGATCCAATAATATCTCAACGAACTGTTCGTATTGAAAAACGTCGTTCTCCAGGTACTCATAAATATAATAAACAGTATAATCAAGAAGTAAATCGTCGGCATCGAGCCCACAGATATGATCATGAAGTAATTCGTTCAATTTTTCATAAATTTAGCATTACATTCCTATATGAATCCTTCCACTAGAATCGATCTGAAAATCGGAGTTTATTAGATGCTCAAGGTTAGATTGAAAAAAGACATTCTCTTAGTCGTATAACCATTGGGTTATCAAAACATTTATTAACTTTTAAAAAAAATTACTTTTCATAAGTGGTTTGTGTTTCCGATGTAGGGTATTTACCCATACATACAAACACATACATACTCACACCAATATACATATATTATACATACATAACACTATTTCGTATGGCCATAGACTTACAGTCAATGAAACAAGCGCTTCGAAAAAATTGCTTTTTCTGCATTTGAAAAAAAGACCTTGAAGTGGACATGGCTCAAGACAGTACTCTTGATTTCAAGAGTTTGACACTCTCAATAAGTTTGACTCAAGATCTTGACATCCTCAATATTTTGATCTCAACATTATTGACACCCTCACGACTGGGTTTGCAAGTCAAAAACTTATTTACCGCCATTCCTCACAACGAATTCTTGTTTGCTATAGAAAACAAAAGGTTGTGTGATTTTCAGAGATAAGAGAAGGTAAGTATAAAGATAACACAAACGTGCTTTTTTGAAGCGTGCAAAAACTTTAGGTTTTCCGGTATCGATTTTATTAATGATGAAGAAGGAAATGCGGCAAACAAAAAGTACAAATCAAATTAAAAGAGTTAGCTTAATTGAATATGCAGATGCGAGGGAATCTGTACTGGCGAAATGTGTGGTGTTTGATCAAAACGATTTCGTCAAAAGAGTTTTAACACGATAGTATCTGCACACATTTGTCTTGTTCCTGTGGCAAGTATATGAAGATGAGATCAAGGATATAAATTCTTTAGCACTCTGGCGATATCCTGGTGCTTGCTCCATTCTCCCCCACTTCTCTCATATTCCACCATCAATGATTTTGCTTTCTCTAAAGAAGCCAAATGCAAAAAAATTGAGCTGACAAGGGAAGTAGTAGATTTTAGATAGATAACAGCCAGGCTTCTGCCGCTGGTAACAGGCAGCTTTTAAAACGATTTACCTTGATGTTTGTTATTTTCATTTTGTAAATTTTGACCAAGGCGTTGTAGTTCTTGTAAAGCATCTTGATGCTGAGCAAGTTTCTTTTCAAACTCAGCAGTTTGATCTTTCATTTGTTTTTCCAGATTTTGAATAACAACTTGTTGGTCTGTCAGTCTTGTTTGAAACGCATCATTTTGATCTTTCATTTGTTTTTCCAAACAATCATTTCTGTCATGTCCTTGTTCTTTCCTATATAAGGCAGCGCATTTAGAACAGCGTACTTCATACTTACATTCCAGCAGATGATTTTGTAAGGCATCGTAGAAGAGAACTTCGGCGCAACCATTCGGCGTATGTCCACAACGAATTTGTAACTTGGACAGCAGTTGAAGTAAAACTCTGGACACACGGATTCCTTTGAATTCACATCCACATTTTGGACATGTTTTGCCGTTTGCCGTTTGCAACCAAGTATCGATACACTCTCCACAATAGGTGCTTTCACATTCGGCACATGTCACAGGTTTCCACAGAATTCCATGACAGATTGAACAGATAACAGGATCCACGGGAGTATCACCGTAGCTAACGATGGATTCAGTTGAAATGCCCATCTTACTTGTTTCGAAATTTTTCTCTTGAAATTTGAATTATCCTGTGATACATTTGATATAAAAAGGTGTTAATTTACAAAGTGTTTTTGATTGCGAATGATTACGCAAACAAAAAACTTTTTAAAATTTGCTCTCTTCGAAAAGTTGCTGAATAAGCCATCCAAAATAATTGAACACTTGGACTACATTCAACACATAGAAAAATTTGTTCTTTTCTGTCGATGTGTAGACTTCGTTCTTTTCTTTTTCTCGCTTAAATGGCAGAAAGCGAGGAATAGCTGATATGTACAGAACGGAACAAATTTACGTTCTCTATTACCAGTTGCACAATCTAACTCACACAGGGTGATCCAAAAAAAACTTACCCCCTGTGTATTTATTGACTTTCTTGTGTATAAATATAATTGAACTTTTTATCATTAGTTTATTCATATAGAGCAAAAATTTCTGGACAAAATGAGACGTCTCCGAGCTCTCGAAGAGCTTTTCGCATGAAACAGCATTCAATTTACGGAAGGTCCCATACCACCAAAATCGAACACAAGCATTCGCTTTCATAGATTCATACTTAAATTTATCTTTTTTAACGATGTGTCAATTTCACACATCGATAGTTAATGGGATATAAATCAGTGTGATTAATATTACTTACATAGGTAGAATATACGTAATAGTCAACTACAGAATTTGTTCTCTTTCCATTTTTTCTGCCAAGAATAGAAAGCAAGCGAAGAGAAAAAAGAGAGTGAAGCGTGAACGAAGTTAAACATGTCAATACTTAGAAGTATTTTTAAGAAAAAAAAGAACGAATAATAATAAAATGAATAGATTGAGAATATTTTCTATTATTTTTTCAAAAAACATCTGCCGTAAGCCAGGATTTTTTTTGTGCGCTGTTGTCTAGCAAACGCCAGCGCTTCCAGTTTTTTTCTAATCTTCTTTGTAGATACACTCTTCGGTGCAGCTTCGCTTAGAACTGTTCACTCAGCAGCTATCTACTCGTACTCTTACATTAGATTTAAAACTTCAATTCTCTTTACTATCGTTCACAAATTACAATAGATGGCTTCAACACAGCCCTCTTCCTCTCAATGTGAAATACATGGATTAGAAAATTTGGAAGAATATTATCTTGTATGGTGTGATAAACTCGCGAACAATGTCGTGAAGGAAAACATTGAGCAAAAATTACGAACAATAATCAATTATTTGAAAATATTTGATAATATAGAAATATGTGAAAAATATATTAGGGAAAACATAAAAAATTTAAAGGTTATATTAATTGTTAGTGATCAATTCGGACAAATTATAGTTCCACGACTACAGGATTTATCACAATTAATGGCTGTTTATGTTTATTGCGAAGAGAAACAAAGCAGCGAACAATGGACCCAACAATTTCAGAAAGTAAACGAAATTACGTCATTTGATTATATGATCTAAGCTGAACTGAGCCATGGTTTAATATAAGAAAGGTATCTCTACGGTCTAGTTGTTCAGAAAGTCAAAAATAAATTACTAGAACGTAACAACAGGACACTTTCTCAGTAAGATTGGTTTGATCAACCTTTTTGGCGATGTCGCTATTACCGGTCCGGGTCACTTGGCCGACAGATATAAAATTTGCTGGGCTTGGTGCACTGAATAGCAGCTCACTCTCATGCAGCACCTCCCCTCCCACGACCGCGACATTATGTTTCTGTATTCTTGTGTGTTGTCCATCAGAATACACCAAGCCCGGTACATTTTATACCTGTCGGCAAAGTGTACATGTCGGCCAAGCGAACGCGATCCGCTATTACATTTAAACCATTTGCTGCAATTCAGCCAATAAATTTTCACTTTTCTACATTTACTCTAGACAGGTTTTATTTTTTAACATCCAGGTTAAAGGAGTTCTAACACAAATTGATGAACTTATTGAAAGCATCAAACATGATCAAAAACATCGTGAAAAATATGATGAAACAATATCCATCAGCATATTTGATCCATCCAATAAAGAAAAATCAACAACAGGGTTGAATTCATCATTTATGTATCAACAATTACTTACAGATATTTTAATACAAATGGAATCCACATCAGCGGATAAAAAAGAATTAGTTGATGCATGTCAATTTTTTTATAAAGATAATGGAGAACAACTTAAAATCCTAAATGACTTTGATCAAACATATTCATCCAACCAAGCTCTATGGTGGTACCCACGTGAATCATTTTTATATCGACTACTGAATAAAGCATTAAGAATAGCAAATATTGATTTATTATTTGGACTCATCTATTTAGGATGGCGGTAAAAAGATCATGATTTTTTATCTTTTTGCCTTCAAGTAAGCGATTGCAGATTTTCTTCATACTCTAAAAAAAAGAGACAGAATTGTTTTTAAGGGTTCTTTGCTTGGGTCTCACACCGATCCTTCAAAAAGGTTTCATCCAAAATAGGCGCAGTATGGTATCATTTATTCTTTTTTGAAAAAAGAGTTCGGGATTCAATTTTTTGAGAAAAGGCTCCGAAAAAGGTAGCACGTAATATGTTTGTGTTAAATATATTAAAAATCTTCAATACTTCGAAAATATTACTTTTCGCGAGCACGCATGCTACAAACGTAGTATCGAAGCACAACCAACAGAAAAACTTTAAATAAATATAAATACTCAATATTTAAAAAAATATTGAGAGGATGTGAACATTTTTTTGGGCACTTGTGCAGGACGTGGTATCCCAAACTTTTTGCCGTATGACAACACGCTCTACAAGCCCTCACCGCTCTATAAGGTAGGTCTCTCAGTTAACGATAGTGAAGGTCATAGTCAGCAAAAGCTATCTCTAAAACTATTAAGCAACTTCGTCGCTAAGAGCTGTAAAATCTGATAACTTGTCACTATCTGACATTCATTGAAGCGGACGAAACGGATATTGCTCCAATAACTGGAAAAAAGGACGTGTACGATCCTCTACCCTGACAATATTTAATTACTGTTGATCATTTACGAATATTAGTAGTTGATAGTCATGATACATTGTTCGATAACATTTGTTTCAGTTTCATGTTGTACTTGTCCCAATTGAGATATATTAAGTAAATCAGAAGCGTGGAAAGAATTTAAGTTTATCTCAGACACATCAATGAATGTGAAAAATAAAGATTCCGACCTGCGATGACAGCATAAAATAAGGAAACATGTATTTTTTCGACACTAATGGTGAGGTCGAAAACATCCTGAGCAAGCTAAATTTTGGAAGAGAGAACTTCAAAAACATAAAAAATCTGTACAGCGAAAAGAAGGCGAAGCTGTTTTACGTGATGCGGATGTACAATTTTGTTCTAAACAGTGAAAATAAAAAGTCAATGGAATAGAATAATCGCTATAAAATAACTGGTTAGTTCCTTAAACATGACACAATGAAGAAAGTAAAGCACATTATGTCTCTCAACTCAATACCGTAGAAACACTCCGCAAATACCGATGCTATAAAAACAACTCCAATTAGAATGAGTTCGGGAAGTGAACAAATGATTATTTCTCTTTTATATAGTAATTTTTTAAAACAAAATACGATCTTGTGTTTGTGGTTTTTATGTAGAATCCAACAAAATATGTTGCTCTCCGTTGTGCATCAGTTGAAAAAAATTGATATGGGAAAATATTTCTTAAAATGTTAGTTTTTTTTAGAGGCTAAAATAACATAACGGAATTACAAGTACGACCTTATGTCTTACCTAACAGACATTTATGCAATACCGTTTTGTTCGCTTGTTTGAAATTTCTTTATTTTTTAAAAGCTAGATATGGCTGTTTTTTCTCCATTCCCTTTTCTTGTTTGACAATTGTGACTTAAATTATATGAAACAAATCGTGAAATATCAACTTTAAACACGTTTGTATGATTTAACTAATGACTACATGAATTTATGGTCTCATGAACAATTCTGTTGCGAAGAAAAAGTACTCTCATTCACATATAGCAGCTTAATAGACAAATAGGTAGTGTTTCAGCCGGAAGATTGTTTAGCAGTCACTAAAAGTTTTTGTGAAGGAAAACATCCATTTTTCGATATTGTTTTTACAGATTCTTTTATTTACCTTCCCTGTACGTGCAAAACTAGTACTGGTAAACATGAAAAGATTTTTCTCCAAATGATAGAGAGTGTCTGAGGCAGCTTTCAACCTCTACGTCTGTTATGTATGACTTCATACTATTCCAGTGAATGAAAAAGATGTTTGTTATAGTTATGCGAATTTGGGCACAAGCTATCGTCGAAAACATATGACGAAAGAAGCATTAGATTGTTATGATAAAGTGTTGAAAATGTGGAAAGCATCGCTGGGTCATGATCACCCAAATGTTGCCATCATTTACAATTATGTCGGTCAATGTTATAAAGACGAGAAAAACTATTCTTTAGCATTAACGAATTATAAAAAAGGATTGGAAATAGAGAAAGCGAAACTGCCGCAAAATAGTCCACATATAGCTGAATCGTATGAGTGTATGGGTGAACTGTATCGTTGTATTAAAAAATATGATCTAGCATTATTGTATCATGAAAATGCATTAAAAATTCGATTAGTGACATTATCACCAACACATCAACAAATAGCTCAATCCTATATGAGGATAGGTCTTGTGTACGAAGATAAACTAGATTTCAATAAAGCTATTGAATTTCTACAAAAAGCATCAAACATTTATTCTCAAAATTCATTAGCACAATCACATTCAGATGTGGTCGATGTTAATAATGCAATTCAACGAATTAATTTAAAACAAACGTAAGTGATTTTCTTTTCTTTTATTAGTGTTAACATTTCTATGTTTCTTTGTTCTATAGAAGTTATGAGTTTAAACTTAAAATGTTTATTTATCGTCTATCGAGCAATATGTCGTTATTAGTATCACTATCGATACCAGTCGTCTGTCTGTTGATAATCGGTTTTTACTCTGTTTATTTCTAATTCACTTTTATTCATATTCATAGCAAAAAGGTATACGCATTCAACTATTCTGTACACTTATATGCAATCGTATCATAACGAAATCAGCAATAGTTTAAATGGAATGTAGAACATTTCGCCAACAAGACAGTTCACTGAAAATGTTTTTGATCGTCTAATTTCTAACTGAACTTGATCTTATTTAGATGATCTCTCCTCCATTAACGATACCGATCCCGCTCTCAAACCTCAAAAATGGATCTACTCTCCGTGACTCATCTAACTGGTGACTCATGTAGCTCTCTTGAATCTCAAAAGAAGCAGAAAACCATCACACTAACCATACAAAGCACACGATCGAAAATAAATTTAACGAAATTGATCGGAGTCCAAAGAAAAAAACGGAATATTCACGAATGGATGCAATGAAATAGAACAAAAATCACCATATGTTTTGATATCACTCTTATCCTCATTCCACTAGACATACTTCAAAAAAGTTCAATATCAAAAAAGAAGTTTGCGAAGCACGTTAAGCCCCAAGTAATTCAGCTTTTGGAAATTTTGAAAAAACCTCTGTAGTGAAGAAATGATAATTGATTCAAGTATTCACAAGGGCGAAACTGATGCTGCATATTTTCTGATGACGAAAACGACTTTTCTACTCAAGAATTACATGTTACGTGAACAGGTCGATCTTTCCTCAAGAGGACTTCATCTTTTCTCGTCATGAAATCAATGTTTCTACACGAGAAGTGCATGTTTTTTCGTGAACTGATCGATGTTTCCCCACGAGAGCTTCATCTTTTCTTGCGAAGAAATCGATGCTAAGTTACAAGAACTTCATATTTTCCGGTTAACACATCGATCTTTCCTCAAGAGAGCTTCATCTTTTCTCGTCGTGAAATCGATGTTTCTTCAAGAAGTTCATCCTCTGTCGTCAAGAGCACGATGTTTCCTCAGAACAACTTCATCCTTTCTCGTGATAAAATTGATGTTTTCCTCACGAGAATTTCATCTTTTCTCATCGTGAAATCGATGTTTCTTCATGAGAAGTGCACGTTTTTTCGTGAACTGTTCGATGTTTCTTACAAATAGATGTTTCGTCACAATAATTTCGTATTCTCTCGTGAAGAAATCGATATTTTATCTTTTTCATGGTTAACACATTGATCTTTCCTCACGACAATCTTTTCTTGCGAAGAAATCGATGTTACGACACAAGAATTTCATATTTTCTGGTCGAGAGATCGATATTTCTTCGTGCGAATTGCATGTTTTTTCGTGAACAGATCGAAGTTTCCTCAAGAGGACTTCATGCTTTCTCGTGAATAAATCGATCGTTCATCACAAGAATTTCATATCTCTCGTGAAGAAATCTATGTTTCGTATTTTCTGGTTAACAAATCGATGTTTCCTGAGAGAATTTCATCTTTTCACGTGAACAGATCGATGTTTCGTCACAAAAATTTCGTATTCTCTCGTGAAGAAATCGATATTTTATCTTTTCGGGTTAACACATTGATCTTTTCTCAAGAGAACTTTATCTTTACTCAGCAAGAAATCGATGTTTCTTCGCAAGAAGTTCATCCTTTCTCGTGAAATCGATGTTTCTTCATGAGAGCTGCATGTTTTCTCGTGAACAAATCGATGTTTCGTGCCAAGAATTTCGTACCCTCTCATGAAGAAATCCATATTTCATATTTTCTGGTCAGGAAAACGACGTTTCTACCCGAGAATTTCATCTTTTCTCGTCAAGAAATCCATGTTTCTACACGACAACTTCATATTTTCTCGGCTGGAAACGATGTTTTTTCACGAAAATTTGTTTGGTCACAAGAATTTCGTATTCGCTCGTGAAGAAATCGATGTTTCATATTTTCTGGTCAGGAAAACGACGTTTCTACTCGAGAATCTCAACGTCTCGAAAACGTAGCGAAGGCGTACAAACGTGAAAACGCAGAGATCGTAGAAAACGTAGCGATCGTAGAAAACCTAGAGATCGTAGAAAACGCAGAGGCGTAACGACGTAGCGACTGCAGTACACGTAGATCTCTACGTCTTTACGTCGCTATGTTTTCTACGATCTCTATGTCTCGAAAACGCAGCGAAGGCGTACAGACGTAAAGAGCTAGAGGTCGTAGAACAGGTAGAAAACGTAGCGATCGCCACACCATTGGGAAGAGTACATAAGAAACTCTATAAAAATAGTATTCAGAGGCTTTCGTATTACTTTTATGGCACATGCTCAGTTGTTCAGTCAAAATTCGACGAACAAAAGATAGATTTCACTGAGTTGTGAAAGTTCGCTCAATGTCGAAAGAGATCCAAGTGCCTTGAGTGATCATTCATCTTCGCATCCTAGCTTAAGCTGATTTATGTGCCAAAATTTCGGACGAGTTGGTCGTTGGAACTAGAAGAAAAGATAAATACCATGTTTTCAAATTCCACTTTTTAGTGTCTATAATATCTCGAGAAATTAATGACCTAGTACGCTTTCGTTTTTATGATTTCAAAGCTCATCAACCGCCCATGTCACGTTCATTATCAGCTGTTTGGTCAGTTTTGGAAGTCACCCTGTAATCGAAGGAGTCTATTCGTACTTTCTTCCATTCAAATGTGTCGCAAATCGACATAAGGACTTTTTCGAAAATTTCCGTTTAGTGTCGAGAGTTCGCAGCATCATTACATATTCCACTTCCGTTTTCTCTCTAAATGTAAAATTTCAGTGCGTACAGTTGGGCTCAGGCAAATTTTCTTTTAGTATTGAGAAATATCTCGAGCTCTCTCAAGTGAACCCACTATGTACATGACTCATTTTTGATATAAATAGCCGAACTATAGAAGTGGATTCTACAGAGTCATCAAAGAGACATTCGATAACGAAGAAATGATCGCTTTGAGACTGAAAAAATATCATTTGGCTTTGCAAAAGCAATCAAATTCTTGTAAATACATACCGAGGGAGCTTTCCTCAATTTTGCGAAATTGAACTGAACTTTCCACAAACTGCTCGTCTTTCCCACATTATCAGCTAGAATGAACGTAAAAGTAGAATATGAAAATATGCTTGAATTGAAAAGAACCGGAACGACGTTGATACTTAAAAATATTTTATCTGACAGAAACGGAGTTTACAACTTTTTTCATGTTCTACAGTATCTTTCCCTAGACTTTTCAGCACTTTTTGCGAAAAAGATTCTGTTCCAAATCTTTATTTCCTTTCTGACCAATTCTACGCTAGATTAAAAGTCGAAAACAGTTGTTTTGTGATTGGTGATTAAAGGTTTCTCGTTTTCTAGGCCAAAAAGCTTAGCCCCGTTCATCGCTACTCTACCACCGATCATTTACAATCTTTATAGAAGTACGTGTTCCTTTAATTTAAAACAACTTGAAAAATATGCTAAGATAAACAAAAAGTTACATATACAAACTACCCGAGTGAAGATTCACTACCGTAAACTGCAGTATACGTTGAAATCCGACGAAATCTAACGGTCGTACACGTTGATGGATACGATGCTATGTAAACGATGAAATACGATGAACTTACGACAGTTGTATACAATCGTACACAGTAAGTCAAACTTCCCAGGTTGAATCCACACGGCAGTAAGGGAAGCCGTCAAAATTCGCATCGGTGAATTTATTCACCGGTGAATAAATTCACCGGTAATTTGATTGGAAATAAAATTGGAACAGTATTATTCAATATGCCTGAGAAAAAGAATATGGTATAACAGAATGACGATGTATGTATATATTCTTTTCTGTACTTTTTAGTTTTATTTTGCCAAAAAGAAAAACTGACGACCCTCTAGGTCCTTACAGTACAGTGACTGAAAAGTTTAAAGAAAAATAAATAACAACATTGATAACAAAATTTTTTCAACAGTAGTACATTTAAAGAAAGTTGTATATATGACACATATTTTACAACAGAGAAGATTAACACAAAAACGACTCAGGAAAGTTTTGGAGTAGTTCAATCTCCTCCATGTCGTAATATGGAATTGAGACAGCAGAAGAGTTTGCAGAAATCCACTTCAAACATTTCTCTATTACTGAGACGTTCTCTACGCATCTTTTGGACACTCTCAAGCATTTGATTGCAAACTCTTTCTGTGCCCAGGCCTGTCTAAACTCGTTTAAGGATGCACTTTCAAAAAGGAGTTCGCCGTCAACCGAGTCTGTCAGCGCTAACAAGTATTTGCTCCAATAACGATAGCATCTATCTTCTAGAGAAATCTCGTCAAACACATAC